CAGGCTGCAACCGCTTTACTGGTAAATTTCCCATTGTTGGCGGGACGGTACCCTTTGGATTAGTGCGAAAGCACCGTAAACATTTGTGCAGGACCTGTCGTACAATACTTCGACCATTTATGGGCCAATATTGCTGTCTGAGTGACGCCAAGGTTAATTGCTGTCCACCGTGAAGCAATTTTTCATGTTCGTACTGAACTAATAGTTTTGTCACATGGTGATTTGATGGTAATATTGCAGGGTGTTTTATAGAAAAATCTAATTCAGCATGTTTTAATCGACCACCAACGCGCAACAGACCATTGTTATCTAAAAATGGCGCTAATGGCAGCAGTTTACTTTTTCTGTCTAAAGGTTTATTACTTTGTAAATTTGAAATTTCTGAAGGAAATGTGATGGCTTGAATATGTTTGATAATTGTGAGTGAAGCTCTTTCCAATTCATTAGTTGAAATGTTACCGTACAATTTGTTAGTTTTATTTTTTATATTGTTGATAAACCTGAGAGAGTACGCTATGACTCTTTGTAATTTTAAGTAATTTGAAAATTTTCCAAAAACATGTAATTCTTGTACTGTAATGATTAAAAAGACAACCCTTTTCCTCTCTACGTCAGTTTTCTGATATATATTAGGAGGGGTAATAGGCCAATTAGTTGTATCACTTTTTAACCAAACTGGTCCATTCCACCATAATTTATTATTAATTAAATCTGATGTTGTTGTACCGCGAGAGATAAGATCGGCAGGGTTATATTTGGTTGGTACATGGCGCCAGTAATTTACATCTGTTAGTGATTGAATTTCCGAAATTCGGTTAGAGACGAATGTTTTCCAATTTCCAGAAATTTCTGATAACCAAGACAAAACTATTGTTGAATCAGTCCAGTAATATTGATGTGTTATTGGTAAATTTAAGATTTTGCTGGTCTTTTTCATTAAGCGTGCTAATAAAAGGGCTCCACATAGCTCCAGGCGAGGAATTGTTATAGTTTTAAGCGGAGCAACACGTGATTTCGCGCATAATAAATGTATTGAATGATTTTCGCCATTGGACGCCCGTAAATAAATACATGCGCCGTATGCTGATTGAGAAGAGTCCGAGAAACCATGCTTGTCACCCTTATTTCATTTTAAACTACTCCCAGATGTAGCTTTTTCTTAGAAGGTGACAATATTGACACCCTGCCGCCACGAGTTCTTACCGACCCCTCAATAAAGCGAAAGGCTGTTGTTTAACAGTTTCCTTAAATCATTTAGGCAAATGTTGGAACAGTACTATTCCACAAATAAACTTCACATATCTAGTAGGTCTACCCCACCTGTCTCTTCCCAACCATCGCTCATCCTTTCCACAACTAGTAAAGAAGGCTAAACATTGTCTACCTTCTAGTGATGAATGTATCGCAGGTACGGTGGCAATGAAACACACATTATTTTTTTTTTTTATGTAGTAGCTTCGTATTCGGATGTTAATTTGATTCTGGGTCTTGATTCAAGTTGTCTCTATAGTTTCCTTAGGTCATGTAGGATACTATTTGGACAGCAATATTCTACATTTCACCGTAACCTCCACCACTCCTACCCATTATTCTCACGATTCCTAGGGGAGTATGAAAAAGACCTTCCGCTCTAAGCACCACTTTAAATTAGAGAGTAGATTAACAGAAGGTTGCTCAACAAACCAAACCTCACAGATCTTGTACCATAAGCAAGAAAATACCAGGCTGTGATCTGTGAATTTCTTTAATTAAACTAACAATGCAACGAAACATAAACGAGTCCAGATAGTAGCAGTATCAGAAGCAATACGCATCGACCTGACTGAATCATCATGCATAATGCATTTACTTCTGTCCTGGTGTAAAAGGCCTGTCAACAGCTTCATACAAAATATTTAAGAAGAATATAAGTATAAAGAAATTATTAAAACAAAACGAATAGTCATACTGACTAAATGTTATTCAACGAGGTGCAAAACAACGGACGGGTCAAGTTCATTGAAGTGTCGGAATGCCAATAAAGACGATTCGATAATGACGATTGGTGACGGCGTCGCGACGTCTAGTTTATTTGGAACGAAATTACTTAGTTGCCTTTATAATAATACACTACGGTATAATAATCAGCTTGTACAATGAAAATGCATACGTACAATAACATGTCCAATCAGCAGAAACGATGCTGATAATGGAATGGAAAGCGAAGAAAGAAGACGCTGACTCCGACGGTGCTATAAAATATCCAAGTGAAGCAAATAAAACGTTTACAGATCGAAAAGGTTAGTGAACCGCCTGTTGCACAGAAACACAAACATATACGTACAACAACGTGTATACCTTTACCCATGTATATGTATTTCTGTTCCTATCTACCTGTTCCTCTCGGTTACTATGGTAATAAGTTGCAATGGGACGATCCATGTGACGAGTTCTTTTTTCTTTATTGTATTATAATTTATATACATCTTCTATACTCCTATAAGTCAAGTATTTTATTAACAGTCCAGAGTCAAAAAGATTTTCTCATTTATTTCTTGTATGTTTAGATGCACTAATAGGTCTGATGTGTGTTACCTAGATACTAATTCACGTTGTCGTTATTGACAGTTAACTGAAGACATTATGAAGAGTACAGTGATAAAATCCCGTTTCATACGTCTGCTTGTCGTTTGTTTGTAGGAAAAACTGTAAAAAGAACAAATTAAATCTTTAGGGGAATTCCCAGACAGTTGACGGAAACTGAAGAAGCAATGACCCAGACATTGTCTGCCATGCTATGTCGTGAAACCTCAGCCCTCTTCCTGATGGGGGTGGTTCGCGTCCTTTCCGGCGCACGACGGGGTGGTATAGCCAGACAGCGGCATTGACCTTCCAGATGTTTTCAAATTTATAGTTATATATGCATGTATCAGAACGAGTGTTCAGTTGCAACATTAATTGGTATCCCAAGAAACATATGAAAACGAGTCATACCATCATTACTCCAGTCAGGATCAATCGAAAAAAAGACTTATTATTGTAGTTGATACGCACACAATTTGATAACAGCTTTCCACTTACAAAATTACACTATATCATTCATGCTTAAGCGAAGAAAATGTCGTTTTCCCTAACCTAAAAAAATCATAACAGAATAATATCCTTCCATGATACAAAAGGAGAATTTCATTTGAAACACTCCACGACTCCATGTATAAGACGTGGTGCTCTGCTGGTACATAGAAAGACATGGCCAGAAGAATAAAAAATAACAGCATTTTTCAAATCCTATTATATGTCGCATTCTCATGTCTTAGATATTTGACAAGGTCAGAAACCCATTGTTTAATAAAACAATTGACCATTGCAATTTTGTTATGACGCATATTTGTTTCAATTATTGTCATCGCTCAACGCAAAAAATCTCAGTACTACAACGGATACAACCTTCTTCTTACACCCTTATAAGTACTGCTTTTGCAACATGTTAAGAATAACGTAAGTTCTTTAATTAGATAAGATTAAAGGTAAGCGCAAACAAGACACGAGACGTAAGAGGGAGGGTCAACGTATGCGATGCACAAGAACAATTGAAATTGTAAACAGAGGCAAACGTTCCCAGAAAGACAGGACATCACGTACAACTAATTAACCGGAAATGGAGGTGTGTACTGCAGAAAACGATGACGCTCGCCACGCTGATGATAATTAATTGTCGCATTTTATATGCCGATATGCTCCTACTAAAGGTCAACAACATTCGACCTCGGAAGTTGTTTTTTGTTCGATCATGATGATGATGATGGAAGAACGGACAGAAATATGTACTGTTATACGATGTATTTTTGTTTTTCTGGCTGTCATACATATTCGAAAGACTTGCGATCAGAAAAATTAATATATGACGAAAAGATTTGACAGACATATTCTTCCACGTGTCGTTATCACCTGGAGGGTGAGGGCTAAAATAGAATAATGTCGTTGGTAGTAAGGAGCGTTTCTAAAAATTGTCCCAAGTTGATTACCCATTAAGCTTAAATTCCAAAAATTTGTCATATTCCGAAGAAAACAATAGATAAAAATAACGGAATGATCTACCTTGGGCTATAATCCACAGGTAAAATTTGCAGGCAGTTATAACAGTAGATGCTTTGTTTGTATTGAATAAATGGTATCCATATACGTATAAATACACTTTACGTTAACGGTGTAGAATTCATTAAGAAATCTTAATGTTTTCAGAAACTTTGTAATTTCCATTTTCAATTCTAGTTTATTAGAATGAAACGGTGTTTATTAAGATTTTTTTTCCCAAATCATTAATGCGTAAATATTTTTTTTTTNATGATGAGGATAACGTGGGTAGAAAAGGTTAGAAATGAAGAGGTATTAGAAAGAATAGGAGAACAGAGGACTCTATGGAAGTCAATTAAAAATAGGCGAGAAAGGTTGGTAGGACACCTTCTCAGGCATGAAGGTCTAGTCAGAGACATATTAGAGGCAGAAAGAGGAGTTAGGAGGGGTAGAGGTAGACCTAGTTTAGATTACTGTTCGCAAATAGTTAAGGATGTAGGTTGTTCTAGTTTTAGGGAAATGCAAAATTTAACTCAGGATAGAAAAGAGTGGAGGTACGTGTCCAACTAGTCTTAGGACTGACGATCTTATTAATATGATGCCTTTAATTCAAGGGACTTATATTTAACGTCGTTATAGCAAAATGGTCGCCATAACTAAGGTAGTAATAAATGAAATCTATTATAGTTCTTACTGACCACTTTCAATCTGTTCAAGCTATGCACTCAACCTTGCAGGAGTTCACAGGATCAATCCTTCAAACAAATACATGCACATGAAACTTACTAATCGTGTATATGTAAATTGTTCAGCCTTAGCGGTGCTGGTACAGAACTACTCGCATGTGTGTCGTCAAGTACCTATTATTCCATGTGGAATACCACAATGGGAAAAACAGACATACTTTACCTTCATACAGATGTTACAAGATAGTCTAAAATGATGCTTGAAGTGCAATTATATACATGGTGTCCAGAAAGACTAGGGTGTATTTGTATCTGCGTTGTCTTTGTAACGACGAGGTTCGGAGGGATAGGTTGTTTCACTACTTTTTGGAGATTTAATGACCATGGAAGTGTATCCGGGAGACTATCATGCTTATTGCGTACGCCCCTATTATCGCAATGGTGATCCGATGATCATAGATCAACGATTATATCGGGCAAAATTCAATGTATGGAATGCACCGAAGGACGATACCATTAGAAAATGGATTCGAATGTTCGAGAATGCCGGTTCGACTGCAAAAATTCACAATCCAGGTTGCCCGCATTCTGTTCGAACCCAACAAACGATTGAAGAAATGAGACTGTCAGTGCGTGAAAATCCGTCCCAATCAGTTCGCAAACGCAGTCAAGAACTTGACATCAAAAAATCGTCGTTACAGAAGATTGTGAAGCAAGATTTACATTTTACAACCTATAAAATTCAGTTAGTTCAAAAACTGAACGATACAGATTATTCTCTCCGACTGAATTTTGCAAATGAAATGCTTCAACGCTTTTCAACGTTTGAAAGCGAACTTTCACTTAAATGGTCACGTAAACAAACAGAACTGTAGCTACTGGGCCAACGAATAGCCAAGACATAAACATGAACAACCACTACATAGTCCAAAAGTTATTTGCGTGGACTGGACTACCATGTCTGGTGAAGACATCATTGGGCCTTGTTTCTTTGAAGACCGACGAGAGCGAACACTTACGGTAACCAGTGATGAGAATTGTGACAAGTTAAGAAACTTTTTGGTTCCACAACTGCACGAGTTTGGTGGTTTTAATGTGGAATAGCGATTTCAACAAAATGGGACCACTTGCCACACCTCAAACCAATCGCTTGCGGTTGTCAATCAATTTTTCGCGGAAAAAGTGATCTCTTGTCGAGGTACCATCAACTGGCCACCGAGAAGTCTCGACTTCACACCTCCTAATTATTTTTTATGGGGATACCTTAAAGAGAAGGTCCATACCAATATCTATACCGAAATGGCCGCCGTTTCTAAGGAGATGTACAGACGCTAGCGACTAATTTCCAAAACTTTGAATTTACAAACACCCCTACCCTTTCTGGACACCCTGTACATACGTCGGTATAATAATTGCTTAACTGAAATGAGATTTACGCATACGAACTGATGCATTCCTGATTCAGGTCTAAAAGGCGTCATCGGTTGAAATTTCTTTCTAACGTTTCGCTAGCACAAAAACTTCTTTAGAGGTGTTTCCATTTCTGATGCTGGATGTGGTCTACGTTAGGACGTTTAAGTGATTTAATAGTGTAGTAAATTAAAAATGAATTTGATAGTTTGTCATAAATTAGGAAATAAAGGAACACTACGTATCCCAAGGTCATGAGTCATGAGATTCGAAACTACCTCTAACTGCGTTGGATTGAGTTATGGAGAAGTTCGCGTTATCAGAGGTTGAAAGTTTAACTATATTTCCATGTGGCTAGCAAACCGTTAAAGAAAATTTGAATATTGGAGATTTTACGGTAAGAATCCTACCTAAAAGCAAACTCATTTCTGCATCCATAATCGTTTTGGGGGTCATTGTACCGTTGTCCAGTGCTGATCGAACCGTTTATTATAAATAAATGCCTTTTGTCTCGAATGATCGCTTGATGATGTGGTTACAAAAAAAAACTGGCTTTTTGTATGATTATTTTTGTCAATCACTTGTTTTGTAAATTCCGTACGTTCCATAAAAGACTTTAAGATAGCTATAACTACAACCAATTGTTTTAAAACACAGTTTTTAATTCTTATTTGAAAAATCTTTATTTGTATTTACAAATGAAACGAGAATTTATATTTCTCTTTCTGACGCAACTCCAGCTTCTTGTTTACTCGAGTTATTGGCAATTAAGAAAGTTTTGCACAAAAAAAAACATTACTAGCAAGTTGTATTTCTTTTAGGGCACGTGCCTGCGAGTTATTACTCCTTTGTCCTTGCCCTCACCATCCATTTCACCTTCATTTTCGGATGGCGCCCTCATTCACAAATTAACATTTCTCCTCCGCTGTTGACGGATCCTCCTACACCACCTTCACTTCTTTAGTTTTCCACCAGGTGAGGACCTGGAGGCTAATGCTGACCGATTTTATTTACCTTCCGGTGTACCTTGAGAAAATACTGCTATTGCATATAAACTTTGCCATCCCTTATCACCTCGTTGGGGATGGAATTTCGATAGTACCGGGTACTCGGAGCAGTTAATGCTGGGTACACAGTGTAACGGGCCAGGCAGATCCGCGCGATATCGCCATTGTGCACGGTTAAGGGGTTATAGGTGAGAGGGCGCGTCGGAAGAGGACCATCGATCGACACCACATCCCGCCAACGGTAGTAGACATCTTAGCGTCCAAGGAGGTGGACGCATTCTAAGACTACCAGTTGTGAAATGTGGGAATATTTCTCCACCATGATTTTATTCATCATCGAACAGGAGCCCGAAGACTAAATGTAATACAGTGTAAGGGTATACCCATCTTTAATTTCGATATTTTTTGGTTTTTATTTTATTTGGATTTTCTGTTTTCTTTGATTTAGAATGTACGTTTGGTTTTGTGTAAAATCTTTATGTGTATTTAATAAAATATTCGAAGCTAATTTTTCCTTTCTGTTATTAAATAATTCAAGACCTAGACTTGCGTTATCGGGAGGTATCATCCGGTGCATCTTTAATTTAAATTCACTTTTTACCTGATTCAAGAATTTTACAAGAGACGAAAATAAAAAATTAATAGATTCTGCTTAAATTTTTCCTCACTTGAGAATGTAATTTTTACACTGCAATGATGTCATTATACAAAAAAATATTTAGGCCTTTTTATGATTCTGCACAGAATAATCCAAATGTATAAGTATCTTTAAAGTACGTCAATTTCAACTTTTCAAACTTACTTGCACAAAGTCGTTAAAATAATGTGAAAGTGTTTATCGCGTTTAACGGTTTTAATTAGACGATAAGCGTCAACGTGATAACATAGATTTAATGAAGCCAATAAAGGCCCCACTAGGGAGAAAACTTCATGATTACAAACGTTCGTTTTTCTGTCTGCAAAAATAACTCGCCCCTGCGGCACTACGATTTCACTGTCTTAATTACACAGATAAGTAATATCAAATTAACAGTTTATTCGCTTAATATAAAAATTTCGACCTTCGTGGGTTTACAAGGGTAAATGCGAGTTGCTTAATTGTATTCGGGTCTTTAAAATAACGATAATGATAAAAAATTGCAACAATCTTTTGTTTATTCCATGATTACAAAATATGTACTTACTATTTTCATATGGTTTATAAAACAATATATTGTACCTATGTTCATATACAATAACGGCATATTATCTGGTAATAATAAAAAAATGTTGCTTAAGTTTTAGCACAGGTCATGGTAATAAATAAACAAAAAGTTCAGTTATCAAATGATAACTTTACTGTTGAGGATAGTGACCTCAAACCATTATTTTTTTCGATACACAATACAAGTAAATAAGTACAATAATAAATAATAATTAAATTATTAGTATGTTCCACATTCGACATTTAAAGTGCGTATTTTATAGTTATTAAGAAAATTTAGTTCACCTACAAGAGACGCCAAAACCCTGTTCAACTCTAGAAGAAAATGTTTTTTATATTTAGTCTTATCGTTAGTCACATTTTCACGAAATCGACAACAAAAGCAATAAGCTTTTTATGTTTCCGCAATAGATTAGATAAAAGATACCCAAACAAAAATACCTAGATACATATATTTAATATACTTATGTATAGGTTTAAATGTAATCTCTGAGTAGGTACTTTTTTTAAGTGTAATCATACAGACAATATTTACTGCCTACAAAAAAGTAAAAAGAAATGTTAATTGCATGAGTGCCAATTGTCCAATGTTAGCTAGTCCAGCGCCGAAAATACTACGTATGAATAACATATGTAGATAATAATAACGTGCGACATCATCTCTTTATGTTTAAGCGACAGCTTTGTATGCAGTAAATTCCGATTAACAGGAAATTTATGAAATCTACCTGTGATGCGCTGATGAGAGCAAATAACTTAGAAATTGCGATCTGCCTTTGATTCAGTTCAGTTTAGTTCTACTAATTCCAAAAATCTTAAGCATGAAACCAACACTCATAAAAGGAAAACGTGACCTTATGATCGTAAGCATATCTGTCAAACCAGACATTTTACTAGTTTGTATGCTATCCAAGTAGTTTTATCACCCTAAGGTCGTCAGTCCTATGTCCTATGACTAGCTGGACATTGGAGGTGCATGTATCTTTCCTATCCTAAGCTAATCTTCGCATTTCCCTAAAACTAGAACATCCTACGTCCTTAACTATTTGAGAATAGTAATTTAATCTAGGTCTACCTCTACTCATCTTAACTCCTATTTCTGCCTCTTATATCTCTCTGACTAGCCCTTCATGCCTGAGAAGGTGTCCTATCAACCTATCTCGCCTATTTTTTATTGACTTCCGTAAAGTCCTCTGTTCAGCTATTGTTTTTAATACATCTTCGTTTCTAACCTTCTCTGTTCACGGTATCCTCGTCATTCACCGGTAACACCAGCAAGTAGTTTACAAACTAACTATAGGTAAACACAGGAAGCACTTTTAACCCTTCTTATTATTTAGCTAGGTATATGAAGATATATGGGTGATTTTTTTCTAAACTAAATAAATTTTATCATAGCTTAGCGTTTAGGAGGACACCAGCATAATTCCGAGTTTGTCTATCCTCGTCCAAGTTTTTCTATGGTTTCTGTTGTATGTTTAGCAAAAAGAATATGCTAAATAGTGGTGCTTTTAACTTAAGCACTGCTGGCTTTGTCTCGTTTGTTTGATTGAAATATATCTTAAAAATGATTGACTAAAACTGTGAACTGCTTTAAATTAGTTTATTATTTACACTTTAACAATTACAATTTAACTCTCTTAACTACTGAAAACTAATGGCTAACTTATACAATGTGTTCGATGTGACCTCNGAATTGTTATAGTTTTAAGCGGAGCAACACGTGATTTCGCGCATAATAAATGTATTGAATGATTTTCGCCATTGGACGCCCGTAAATAAATACATGCGCCGTATGCTGATTGAGAAGAGTCCGAGAAACCATGCTTGTCACCCTTATTTCATTTTAAACTACTCCCAGATGTAGCTTTTTCTTAGAAGGTGACAATATTGACACCCTGCCGCCACGAGTTCTTACCGACCCCTCAATAAAGCGAAAGGCTGTTGTTTAACAGTTTCCTTAAATCATTTAGGCAAATGTTGGAACAGTACTATTCCACAAATAAACTTCACATATCTAGTAGGTCTACCCCACCTGTCTCTTCCCAACCATCGCTCATCCTTTCCACAACTAGTAAAGAAGGCTAAACATTGTCTACCTTCTAGTGATGAATGTATCGCAGGTACGGTGGCAATGAAACACACATTATTTTTTTTTTTTATGTAGTAGCTTCGTATTCGGATGTTAATTTGATTCTGGGTCTTGATTCAAGTTGTCTCTATAGTTTCCTTAGGTCATGTAGGATACTATTTGGACAGCAATATTCTACATTTCACCGTAACCTCCACCACTCCTACCCATTATTCTCACGATTCCTAGGGGAGTATGAAAAAGACCTTCCGCTCTAAGCACCACTTTAAATTAGAGAGTAGATTAACAGAAGGTTGCTCAACAAACCAAACCTCACAGATCTTGTACCATAAGCAAGAAAATACCAGGCTGTGATCTGTGAATTTCTTTAATTAAACTAACAATGCAACGAAACATAAACGAGTCCAGATAGTAGCAGTATCAGAAGCAATACGCATCGACCTGACTGAATCATCATGCATAATGCATTTACTTCTGTCCTGGTGTAAAAGGCCTGTCAACAGCTTCATACAAAATATTTAAGAAGAATATAAGTATAAAGAAATTATTAAAACAAAACGAATAGTCATACTGACTAAATGTTATTCAACGAGGTGCAAAACAACGGACGGGTCAAGTTCATTGAAGTGTCGGAATGCCAATAAAGACGATTCGATAATGACGATTGGTGACGGCGTCGCGACGTCTAGTTTATTTGGAACGAAATTACTTAGTTGCCTTTATAATAATACACTACGGTATAATAATCAGCTTGTACAATGAAAATGCATACGTACAATAACATGTCCAATCAGCAGAAACGATGCTGATAATGGAATGGAAAGCGAAGAAAGAAGACGCTGACTCCGACGGTGCTATAAAATATCCAAGTGAAGCAAATAAAACGTTTACAGATCGAAAAGGTTAGTGAACCGCCTGTTGCACAGAAACACAAACATATACGTACAACAACGTGTATACCTTTACCCATGTATATGTATTTCTGTTCCTATCTACCTGTTCCTCTCGGTTACTATGGTAATAAGTTGCAATGGGACGATCCATGTGACGAGTTCTTTTTTCTTTATTGTATTATAATTTATATACATCTTCTATACTCCTATAAGTCAAGTATTTTATTAACAGTCCAGAGTCAAAAAGATTTTCTCATTTATTTCTTCTATGTTTCGTAAAATGAGTTAAGATGCACTAATAGGTCTGATGTGTGTTACCTAGATACTAATTCACGTTGTCGTTATTGACAGTTAACTGAAGACATTATGAAGAGTACAGTGATAAAATCCCGTTTCATACGTCTGCTTGTCGTTTGTTTGTAGGAAAAACTGTAAAAAGAACAAATTAAATCTTTAGGGGAATTCCCAGACAGTTGACGGAAACTGAAGAAGCAATGACCCAGACATTGTCTGCCATGCTATGTCGTGAAACCTCAGCCCTCTTCCTGATGGGGGTGGTTCGCGTCCTTTCCGGCGCACGACGGGGTGGTATAGCCAGACAGCGGCATTGACCTTCCAGATGTTTTCAAATTTATAGTTATATATGCATGTATCAGAACGAGTGTTCAGTTGCAACATTAATTGGTATCCCAAGAAACATATGAAAACGAGTCATATCATCATTACTCCAGTCAGGATCAATCGAAAAAAAGACTTATTATTGTAGTTGATACGCACACAATTTGATAACAGCTTTCCACTTACAAACTTACACTATATTATTCATGCTTAAGCGAAGAAAATGTCGTTTTCCCTAACCTAAAAAAATCATAACAGAATAATATCCTTCCATGATACAAAAGGAGAATTTCATTTGAAACACTCCACGACTCCATGTATAAGACGTGGTGCTCTGCTGGTACATAGAAAGACATGGCCAGAAGAATAAAAAATAACAGCATTTTTCAAATCCTATTATATGTCGCATTCTCATGTCTTAGATATTTGACAAGGTCAGAAACCCATTGTTTAATAAAACAATTGACCATTGCAATTTTGTTATGACGCATATTTGTTTCAATTATTGTCATCGCTCAACGCAAAAAATCTCAGTACTACAACGGATACAACCTTCTTCTTACACCCTTATAAGTACTGCTTTTGCAACATGTTAAGAATAACGTAAGTTCTTTAATTAGATAAGATTAAAGGTAAGCGCAAACAAGACACGAGACGTAAGAGGGAGGGTCAACGTATGCGATGCACAAGAACAATTGAAATTGTAAACAGAGGCAAACGTTCCCAGAAAGACAGGACATCACGTACAACTAATTAACCGGAAATGGAGGTGTGTACTGCAGAAAACGATGACGCTCGCCACGCTGATGATAATTAATTGTCGCATTTTATATGCCGATATGCTCCTACTAAAGGTCAACAACATTCGACCTCGGAAGTTGTTTTTTGTTCGATCATGATGATGATGATGGAAGAACGGACAGAAATATGTACTGTTATACGATGTATTTTTGTTTTTCTGGCTGTCATACATATTCGAAAGACTTGCGATCAGAAAAATTAATATATGACGAAAAGATTTGACAGACATATTCTTCCACGTGTCGTTATCACCTGGAGGGTGAGGGCTAAAATAGAATAATGTCGTTGGTAGTAAGGAGCGTTTCTAAAAATTGTCCCAAGTTGATTACCCATTAAGCTTAAATTCCAAAAATTTGTCATATTCCGAAGAAAACAATAGATAAAAATAACGGAATGATCTACCTTGGGCTATAATCCACAGGTAAAATTTGCAGGCAGTTATAACAGTAGATGCTTTGTTTGTATTGAATAAATGGTATCCATATACGTATAAATACACTTTACGTTAACGGTGTAGAATTCATTAAGAAATCTTAATGTTTTCAGAAACTTTGTAATTTCCATTTTCAATTCTAGTTTATTAGAATGAAACGGTGTTTATTAAGATTTTTTTTCCCAAATCATTAATGCGTAAATATTTTTTTTTTTTAAAGAAAAGGTTTTGAGCAATGTCGCTATAGTGATGATGACGATAAAAAATTACTATAATAGAGAACAAAGAATTTGAGAGGACGCAAGACTACCTACTATGACAGACGAACAAAGAAACTAAGTCAAATATGCAGACGTGCTTAGTCAAAATTTTTGCCCTACCAATTCTAGGTTTTTCTTTTCATAAATGAATAAGTTTAACAACTTTCCATCCCAACGAAAAACACTTACCTTAAAATCGGTTTCACCTTTTCGAAAAGGTAGCTAGGCAATTACCTCTAGAGCAAACGGCATGGACATCCTATTCCAGAAATTTTTGAACCGTGTAAGATGAGATTGAATTGAAACACTGGAAACCCGAACTGAGTCTGTCAGCCTCATTCACCACCAATATCAACAATCAGACAACTACACGTGAGTTAGAGCTTCGATAGGAGCTGTGCGCTGCTCCATACCTACTACGATTGACAGTTGCTACTATTTCTTCCTTCCTAATTCCACCACTGCCATTACCACTACCACTGATATCCACAACCCCCCACCATCGTCATTTGGACGACGACGACAACAACAACAACAATAAAAAATAACAACACGTTGCCGTCTGAGACTCTGAGATACTCATGCGAATGGAAGTTGTGGAAGGAAGTCTGATTGGGCTGCTCACATGCTTCAGGTCCGTTTGCCTCTGTTTCAACTCGATGAGATGTATCGTCGTCGCATCGAACGTTGTGCCGATGTCGTTGTCGACGTCGAATACGAAGTAGTACAATGGCTCCCGCCTGTTAGTAATCGTTTTCGAGAATTGTTGAACGTAAGTTCAAGGTCCTTGGAGAGGTAGTAGCAGAGTTTACTGGCCGGCTATAAATATAATTTGCAAATAAACGGCAACCGCGTCGTCTACCGCAGGAGCGCGATCCGGCCAAGGATCGTTTTGGATCCTTGGCTGTCAGTTTCGGATGGCTTGCCACATATCACAAGGGAAGAATGCAAAACTGGTCTCGGAATGAAAAAAATGCGTCAGACCATCGTTTCTCAACCTGGATTCCTGATCTCATTTTAGGAATAGGGAGTTTTCCAAAAAAAAATTTTAGTTTGGATTTTGCTATATGACTTTATATTGGAAATAGTCCTGAAAACCACAGGGCACACCTTAGTAGCAGATTACGAAAATTCGAATATTCGTGAAAAGACTTTTCTCACTTAGAAAGAGATGAAAAATTATACATCATTTTCCAGGCCAGCTATTTCGATGGAGGCTGAGGGCTCAGCACCTCTAACCCCACGGGCACGGCGCTGTTAGGTATTATCGTTTACTATACCAATGTAAAAAAAAACTTTTGGGAGTTTCATTCCCCTCAATTACTAATGCTGGTAAGAGGGGAGTCCCTTCGGACTACGCCGGAGAATAGAGCGAAAGGTCCTCTTCAGCCTTCTTTCAGGAATTCTGTGAGTAGGTGGGTGGCATTGGGGTGAGCTAGATTAGATCGACGAAATGAAGATGCAAGAGAAGTCAAAGACTATTCATGATCCAAGGAAATCACGGAAAAACTTGAACCAGTGCAGAAGGACCAGAATCGAACAGGTGTCCTCCCGAATGCTAAGCAATGGTCTAAACTTGTAGGTCATGCAGCTCGGTAGGCCAATGTAAAAAGAGGGACCTTTAATGGAGTTTATCTATTCTTAGTATGTACCAACCAGAATGTTAATGAGAATAACGAAATCCTTCCATTGCCGATCAGTCACCTTTTACTTGCCATCAACGGATATAATACCAGTTGCAATATTTTGAAATTCACAATTACAAATATAATACCTACGCTGGAAATAGAACATACTTTAAAATCCGTTATTACGAAGGCTTTCAGAAACTTACAATATTCATCGTCAGAAAGAATGAATTTCCCAAGAAGCCATTTGGATACTCGGCATTTGGGTCAGAATAACAAAGAAAAAGTTTTAATAGTTGGAAGAGAAATTAAACACATCAAATGCGGTCATCAATATCGTTTTCGTATTTATAATATTATAGATCTCCGATATGTAGCTCGCGAAAAGGAAGAATTAATTATTAATGATTATTTTGAGCAAATAATTGTCAGATTGCCAACTCGCAGCTGGATCACATGAGGTTATTCGAAAGAGAAATTATTTGTTATGTTGATGCACACTAAAAATACATATAAAAATAAATCGAAACTTACCTCCACGTTCACTCGCAAACTTCCAACTTAAAGTATTAGAATCGCCGCGAATCAGTTTGTTTGAAGTCATTAGCGTAGAATTTATTCTCACATATATTAATCATGATTTAGACGAAACCTGTAACAAAGAAATTGTAATTTACAATAAACCATCATATAAATATGCACCTAATAACATTTACATTAATAATAGTTAATTAGTAATAATGAACCTCAACTACATTGGGTTATGGAGATATTATTCGCAATGCCTAATGGCGTTTAGCTAAAGTAATAAACATAAACGTAAAAAAGTCCAACGTCGAATGAAGTCAAAAATAGAAGGTATAACCTAGCGAACAACAGAAATTTAAAAAAACCTAGGACAACCACAACTGACTTGCCAAAGAAGGTTATATGTTGCTCTAAATAAGTTTTCATTTTTCATTTTTACTGGTTTAACTAGGTAATGTCTTTCTTTGTTTAACTTCAATCGTCTTTTGGCTATAAACATGACCCCTTCTTGACTTTAACTACCCCTGCAATACAGATATTATAAAAAAGTAGATATATTTTTTGGTAAATTCTGCCCCAATAACTACTTTATCTAAATTTACAACATTATAGTAGCATCTGTAAGCTTTATGCAAAGCTGGGACCCTCGTGCGCCCGGGGGGCGTGGGAGGCATTCAGGATGCGCGGGGAAAAGGAAGAGAGCAGTATGAATGACGACGGCGACGAACGAGAAGGGGCGCGAGAAGATACCTAATTAAGTTAATTTCTATATTTGTTGGTTACCTTCCGAACTTTGTTTTAATAAATATATCCGTTAGTATTTCTTTGAGGAAGTGAGTTTTTACATCTTTGTTATTTATTATTTTTAAGGTTAGTTGAACGTGACTTCATCATCATAAGGTCGTCAGTCCAAAGACTGGAGAGGACAAGCACCTCCATACAGTCCTAATTTTCTGGGCTAATCTTCGCATTTCCTTAAAACTAGAACAACTCACATCCTTAACTATTTGCGAACAGTAATCTAATATAGGTCTACATCTACCCCACCTATCTCCTGTTTCTGCCTCTAATATGTCTCTGAATAGACCTTTATGATTTAGAAGTTGTCCTACCAACATATCTCGCCTATTTCTAATGATTTCCATAGAGTCCTCTGTTCTCCTATTCTTTCCAATACCTCTTCATTTGTAACCTTTTCTACCCACGTTATCCATATCATTCGCCTATAACACCACATTTTGAACGCTTCTAACCGCTTCTTTTCTGCCGCGCCCATTGTGCATGTTTCGCACCTGTACAACGCCGCTCTCCAAACATACACCGTTAACAACCTTTTTTTTATTGAAGGCGACATGATCCTGCGCTATCCTCTGCTTTATATCCCTACTACTCCTGCCGTCTTGACTTATGAACGTGATTCAACACAGAAAAATTCTAGTTCTGTCAGTATATTTCTTTTTAATGGGTATTTGCTGCCAACTGATGTAGTTCACGTTAGACAATTGCCTTATTAAAATATCTAATTGTTTAACTGAATAAAATACTTCTGGTGTCACATTCCCACTAGCTACAAATGCTGGTGGACGGATAGTCCCTCCGGACTATGCCGGAGAGTAGAGTGGGAGATCTTCTTCAGCCTCTTTTAGGAATCGTGGAAATTGATGACACGATATGAAGAAGAAGAGAGAACATTACTGCTCTAGCATTTGTCTATTGCTCTAGCGTTTGTTTAAGTAATACAAGGAAACAACACAAAAACTTGGGCTAGGACAGACGGACCTGGAATTTTAACCTCTAGGCTTGGACTATGCTGCTCCATCGTCTAATAGAATCGACGACATAGCTTGTATACGTGACTAGCCGTAATCCATAAAAAGGACGGTACCATTGTCGATGGTGCATGTAAAGTCATTCCTACCTATTCCAATCTAAGCCCTTAGTGTGCAGCACTTAACTATTAACATTTTTCAATAATTTCATAAAGTACCTACTAACAACATGCTCAAATTCTGCTTGTCTGCATCTCTTTCTGTTACACATTAATTGGTGTAATGTTATTCCTTTTTCTTTATTAGTGTCCGCTGCAATTCCTATCTGACATCTCTTTTCTACGTTTACAATATTCCTTACAACATACGTCGTGAGTATAAGTAGTCTATCAGCAACCGCTCTAGTCCAGTTAGTAAGTTGAAAGAAGAAAGTAAATGCGACAGTTCTATTGCGGACTATGCCAATTTTGAACGTCCCAACTATACTTTGAAATTCTTGGGGTAAGTTTGAGGTAGACATGCAGTTGAAATTTAATAGGTGGAGGCACGTTATGTCGCGGTTACCGACCCATCAGACAGCGTTAGACGCCATTATAATTATTGTACCAGAGTTGCGGAATTATAAACATACCACATTTATTATTTTAACTTTAATGCCAAACAGATAAGGGATCTTGTAAGTGGGTACCTTAAACTTAGCAATATTATGTTTGCATATGGATTTTTACTTTTTATTGTTAGGCATGCATAAAAATATTTCTCAAATGGGAGTTTAATGATTCCTAAGGTGATCACACTGATCAATAATGTTAATAGAACTACACAGCTTATTAATTTTCTTAGTTTGATTTATTGGAATAAAAGGAAAAAAGAAAAGCCAACACTAGTAATAATAGATATAAGTATGACCGAATTTCTTCCGCTTGTTAGCATGTCAGCTAAAATCGCCATCAGGTGTATCACTAACTTGGAATGTCTGGCAGATTCGTATGTTTCTTACAAGTGTTTTTTATTTTTTTTTTTTCTGTTCTATACATAAACATATATTAAACCAAGAATAGTGATACCAAAAATAACTCGGCAAAATGGATATATCCATAAGAATTTTGAAAGAAATTGAACAATTTTTCAGAAAAGCACATCTATTAAATAGTTAAACTACACTTCTGTATCTTTAGTATGACTACGAGGGTGGATTGATAAGTTTCCGGCCTGACCAAGAAAAAGAAGGTTTTTAAAAATTTTTTTTTTTTATTTCTCAACATAATCTCCTCCAAGGCTGATACATTTCTCATAGCGGTGTTCCAGTCTATTAATGCCATCTCTATAGACTGATTCGTCAAGCTCCTCAAAATAACCATTTACAGCTTCGATTACTTCTTCATTGTCCGCAAATCTCTTACCGCCAAGCCATTTTTTGAGATTAGGGAACAGAAAATAGTCACTCGGGGCTAGGTCTGGAGAGTAAGGAGGGTGCGGCATCAATTCAAACTTTAGATCGTTGATTTTAGCCGTCGCAACGATTGACGTGTGCGCTGGTGCGTTATCGTGATGAAACAAGATTTTTTTCTTCGCCAGATGAGGTCGTTTAATTTTCACCTCGTGGCTCAAACGTTGCAATAAGTCTGCGTAGTATTGACCAGTGATAGTATTACCCTTTGCAAGGTAATCAATGTATATAATACCTCTTGCATCCCAAAAAACAGTAGCCATAACCTTGTTCGCCGAAAAAATTGTTTTTGCCTTCTTTGGAGTTGGTTCCCCTGGTCCAATCC